TTTTTTCAATTATCTTAACGAAGAACTCCCTGGAAAAACATTAAAGTTGACAGAGCGTGACTCGTATTTTCATTCACGAAACATCCCTCCGAATTATTACCCTCGGCTGTTATTGTTTAATATTTGCCCAAGAACCGGTGCGGCGCGGCATCGATCCAAGCGAGCCAAAAAATAAAACGGGAAGGAAAAGCGAAAATCGTTTCGAGCCTCGCCAGTAAATCCGGCCAGCGAATCTGTCAAATTATTAAAACCTGCGAATCCGACCGGCAGTTTTGAGTATCAATATTTACCCGTGTTGTTTGCCGCACTCGCGCGCACAGCATTTCCTGTTTCGTACGAGCGATCGCGATGAAAGTGATCAGTCTCCACCCGAATTTTGTTTATCCGATTTTTCTCTCTCTGCTTTTTTTGTTATTTTTTTATTTTCACCAGCGTAACCAGTTAAAACTCGAAACGATGCCTGACAGTCGGTCAATTAACGGTCGCGCGCGAAATTTTATGGTTGTCAACGTTCACAGGCGCAACGCGACGCGATTCGTTTTCTGGATTCGCTTCGCGGAGCGATGTTTTAATGAAAGCCTCATTAAACTAGTCGTTTCTGCCATTTACTACCGGGCCGCCGCCATATTGATCTCGCCCGATCGTTTGTAACAGACTCAGATATATCGGTTTTTGAATAATTGTGCCCGTCGCGCTCGCGAGCGACGCATCGAACTTTAACGAATGCCCTTCAGCTCCCTGCGTGTAATAATTATTTTGCCGTGCGCGTAATTAATTTTTGCCGGAATGTACTGTGCTGGTAATACCGTTGCGTGAAGGTTGCATGCAGTTCGTTTCGTTTGGCAAAACTGCTTGTCTACCTGTTAACGAGTCACTGATTTCTTTAACCTGTTAATTGTAGAATTTAGATTCGAAAATCTCTTATTGCATGCGCAATAAAATCGAACAATAAAGTGTACACTCGTCAAAGGCAGGGGGAAAATGCACCTATAATATATTCTAATGATAAACTAAAACAAAACGAAGAAGAATGACATGTTCATCGCAAAAAATAAATAATTCATCGTTGAAAAAATTAGTACCATTTTGTGTTTCAAGATGACCTGTATACTCGCCGAACGCGGTTAACCGGTTAAGCTGTTGGGAATTTATTAAATTGCGACGAATTTTGTTAGTATTTAGTCTTCAAATCGATAATATTGAAGTAATAAGTGGTTTTTAAAAGTTATAAAAATAATGAATATATGCAGTCGGTTAATGATCATTTCATTGAGAAATATTGAAAAACTTAGTAACTTAGAGTAAAAACAACAATAATACGTATTAAAATATTATTAACTAAGTACAACGCACATTGCAAAAATAATAATCTAAATATACCATTTATCTGACGAAAAAAATTCGATAAAATGTTAAAAGAATCATTTTTTCGTAAATGAGACTATCATATCTTGTAATAAAAGAAACCTATTTATTCTTAATTTCCAATTCCTGTATCAATGTGATTGCCAATGAAATCGATATCACAGTAATTTTTATAAATAAATAAATAAAAAAACAAGTAATAACTTCTGGTACTTTCAGTTTCAAAACGAAAAGAAATATTCCTGAACAAGGTAAATAATCATTCGAACAATGTCGAAAGCAAATCCGGAATTCCATTAAATTACAAAAGTCCTCGTAACAGAGAACAAAAAATGAATGGGAAGAGGTAAAGTTTTACAGAGGAGAGGTATTTCAGTGTTCGGTGACAGGATTACGCGCGCCACTGGACACGACAATAAACCGGAAGAAAATAATGGTACTTACGATTTACTGGCTGGACGCAACGATAAAGGAGAAGCTACGGCGCTCGTATCGCACGTCGGACACACCGGTGTGCCATTGCACTTTTAATTTGTAAACACGCGTCCGATACGAACTTTGCGAAATCAAATGGAAAGAGAAGGAATATGGAAATGAGAGGAAACACTACGACGACATCACGCAATATGCTTCACGCGCGTATCGACGCATTCTCCAACCAGTTAATCGTTTTTGACGAGTATACGCGTAATCTTAAAACGCAAAATGGCACTGATTTCTTCAACGATGAATTATGTATTTTCTCACATAAACATGTAATTCCTTTTCGTTTTGTATTAGTTTATCGTTAGAATATATTATAGGTGCATTTGCCCTGCCATTAACCAGTATACACTTTATTGTTCGATTTTATTGCGTGAACAATCAGGTGTTTTTCAAACTAAATTCTACGGTTAACAGGTTAAATGTTCTTTTAAAGCTACAGAAATTAGAGGAAAAGCACTTCTTCTGAGAAGTACTTTTTTCTAGTTTTTTATTAAATATTATTGCTATAGCCGTCACGCGCTAGAATGTAAACAAACATTTTACGGTTATAGCTGCCACTTGCGTCAACGTGTTGAATGCGAAAGTGTGGAATCTAAAAGAAATCGATTTTTTTGAAATGCTAGATCGAAATCTCCCTTTAAACGCTGCGAGGAAAACTGTTTGGAACAATGAGCAAGGGGAAGTTCGTATTTCTTTCTGTTATCGGTTGTAACTCGAGAGCGTTGCACTGTTTATTGCACGCGAAGCAGCGACCCGATATCCGAAATCGTGTCTTAAGTTACGATTGCCGTGCATGGCTGAGTAAATTCCGTTGGTAAAAGCTTTTTCACCAAAAATTCGCGCTTCTTATGGGACGGGATAACACCGACCAGACAAGTTTATCCGGTTTTTCTTTTTCAGTCATTCTTTTGTGAAACTTATTGTATAAAATATTTTTGAATTTTGATTATTGAGAATGCATAGAAATAACATAATTTATCGTTTTATTTATTTATATTATTTTAAATAGACATGAAATGAGTATTATAGTTTAATACTACGAATTTTATACATTTCTAGTACACTTCATTGCTTTCAAAATTCAATATAGATAATAAACTTGATGTCCAATGAAACTTTTATTTGTCATCAGAATCTGATGATGAATCGAATAAATAAACTCTTTTTTAAATTAATATCTCGTAAACTTCTTTATAAAAATCTTCATTTGTATACAGTAATCCACAATCTATAATAGCAATTATACTTTTTAATTTATTTTGGAACTAACTTTCTTCTCATTTGAATAATCCAAAACAATTCATAATTCTTAAAATCAGTTTACGTACAGAACTGATTTATTGAATCCTTCTACATAAACATATTCAATGTATACCTGCTCGCATGAATTGCCATTAGGCTATTCCCCGCGAAATCTGTTTTTCCGGGTGCATAACAAGCAGTCTGACTCCGACAGCCCCGTAACGAGCGAAGTTTCCTGCTTTTAAGCAAAGGAGTCTTCGGGCACCCTCAAGGAATTATGTGAGGTTTAATTTCGAAATCCTTTGCAGACGAAGAACAAACACGAAAGGGGGAGGGGAAGGGTTATACCCGGCCAACTCTGCTGTAAATGTGTTCATCTTCAGGGTTTAACTTTACTTAACTCGGGTTAACGTTAAGTGACAGCAGCAACCGAGCTGCGAAACAGTTTAGCATCTGTTTTAGTTGCTCCGGAAACTCCCGGATAGTTTGAAAAATATAATTCCCGCTGCTTTGGCTTCTACATGCCGTGTACAGAATTATGTTTTTCACTTAACACTTTGACTGCCAAGTAAACACTTGTCAAAACTATGAAATCGAAACTGTTTTCTTGGTAAAACAGATATTGAAAAGTCGAAATTCTTCGTAACGATTGCTCTGTTATCTTTCTTATGTCACGTGCATCCGAAAAACGGGTCGTTCGATACGTCATCAAGAACATTAATATTTACGTTTACGTACAAAATGGTGTGACGTGGCAACCAAAGTGTGAAAAGAATTTCTTTAAGAGAAGTATTTCTTATATTAATGTTTTTCATGAAAGGTTTACAAGAATTTTAGGATTCTTCATAGAATTATTCATATTTTGACAATTCTTTTATTTTGTTTATTATACAGTAATTAACTCTTTTATTACTACACGTGATTAATATTACCTGGAAAAATTTCATATTCCCGAACAATAATTCTGCATGCGTTTACTTTTACTATTCTGACAAGTCTTTTTGTCAAATTTGTCATATATTCATTTAACAAACTTGTACAAAAATCCAATAGCTTGAATAATACGACAATTGTAACATCTCTTACTACCTGTTCGCGACAAAGTAGATTCTCAGCTCAACTATGTGTAGTACATAGGAATAGTATACTGGGAGCCATTTTTGTCCTAGCGAAAAGTTTATAAATTATAAATAAGCCGGTTTACTATGTTCTGAACTGTATTTTCGTATACCTTGCTTATATGACCCACCCCATGTAAATCATATGCGTTACATCTTCTCCGTCCAAAACACATTCTCAAGTATACTGATTCGCCAGATTACTGATTTCATACATACACTATGACATCCAGGCTGTCCTATTTGAACATACAGTTAATAGAATTTAACCCTGCTGCGTTTTTCAACTAATTGTTTATATTTATATATTTCTTTATACCTTTCGACTGTATTGCATTTTTATTTCCTTAATATCATTACGTTTTATTCCATCATATTCCATCTAATAACGTTCTCTTTTTCTCAATGATACTTCCGAATTTCAGAAAAGTCTAAAACAACCCTTATTAATCTAGATATTCCTAATTTTTTAATTATACGTCAACCATCAAATTTACACATCTTTCTCTTACCCTTTACCCTCAAACTATATTATCACATAAAATAAGATTCTCCCCAGCTTTACTTCAAGCACACCCGCGAAACCGGTTTACGTAAACACAATATTTCCCTATAATTATAACCCATTCATCTCTATTCTAAACTGCATTATACAGAGTTTCGTTTGCCTACCAGGAACTCTCTCCCATAAAGGATTAAAGCAAAACACCCCGCGCATGTATACACGTACACAGAAGCGGCCTAGTATTTGCGTTAGCTAACGAAGCAAACAACGTTCGTTTGTTTCAGAAGTAGAGGAGCGGTCCGGCGGGAAGGCGCGCGGCGGTAAACTAGCGCGTCGTGCGCGCTCCTTCAAGGAGGACTTCCTGGAGAAGCTCTCCCAGATGCGTTCCCCAGGCAGCGGCAGTGGCAGCGGCGGTGGGGGCAGCGGGGCGGCTACGAGGGCGGCTTCACCCTCCTCGCCGCGAACGCCGCGGGACAAGAACGCGCCCGGGTGCACCGAAACCGCAGCCACCATCGACAAGAACCCCATCCGAGATCTGCACATCCACGTGCGGCAGGTGCAGCTGGCGTTGCTCCACTTCAGGGACGTGGTGTCCAAGAAGAAGCTCGAGATGTTGCCGGGGAACGGCACCATCGTCCTCGACACCGTCACCACGATACACACCGTGCTGAAGTCCTATCTACTTTACGAGAATAGGTGATTGGTGATCACTGATTTCGATTCAACCCTTTGCACTCGTATGTCATGCTGGGGATGGCAATACAAATTTGTTATGGAACGTTGGAAATTATTTTAAAAAGTACCACACTTTAAATTCTATAATTGTTCCATTAAACTTTAAACAGGGTTTAATACTAAAATTACTGGGCAGTAAAATTTATTTCCCTTCATTCTTCTATGGATATTAAAAAAGTGTGTATTGATTGGGATTTTCATTGGCTTATATCTTAATTCGTACATCATCAAATCAGGTTACTTAGTCATTTCTCTGAGAAACGCTTCTATCTTTTCAATGATCCTAAAAGAAGACATCAGGAATAGGTCATTTTGACCTGTCTTGTAGCCTAAGTGTTAAAGAACCTAGGAGACGTTCTCGATGTTAGAGTATTTATTACGAGTCCTTTTTACAAATTATTTTATTGTCTTGTTACAGCTCCACTCTGGGTTCAGCGACGAATCAAGTGTATCAAGCACTAGCGCAATTGTTAAAGCTCTGTGACGATGTGTTGCTGCACGGCGATCAGTCATCGGCGTTGGACACTGAGAATGTGACGCACATCATAGGATTAGTTGAAGAAGCTGTGAAAAATTTGGTTGCTCTGGCGAACGAGAAGATCGCCAACAGACAGAAACCTGCAGCTGTCCCTGCTAATAACAGGTATATCAATTTTCTCCGATGGTCTTCATCCTCGGATTGTTTAGGGAAACATAGACTACTGGAAATGTTTATTAGCATCACTGAAATATTTAATATCTTAGCTTTTATGGCGCACTTAATTATAATATTTAGAATTTTCGTTCTTGTTATTTAGATTTCTTTGTTTTACCGTTGATCGACTCGAGGAATCGTATTAGATTATTTTGAAGTAAGCTGCTCTGCATCTTATTGTTAGTTCTCTAATTTCAAGAAATTAAATAATGAAATTTGGACTTGAACAGTTATTTAGTATAAGTATTATTTTTATTAAAAGTATGTTTATTTGAAAATGTTAAAAAACTGGGTAGTACAGTCTATAAGCAATGTAAACTAATTAACTGTATCAAGAAGACAAATAAAGAAAAGTCATTAAGATTAAAAACATATACGTAATAAAAAAAATACTTAGAAAATTAATATTATTTGTGACAATTCTCTTTTTACATGTCTTTTTCATTCACTATATATTCACCGTGTAAAACGAGTTTAGACATAACAAACACGATACAATCTTGTAATACATATTCATAATATCTGAAAAAATATGCCATGTCTAAATTGTTTCCGTTTTCTAAATTAAAATTAATATAAATTTTCTTACAAAAATTGCAATCATGTGAAAAGAAAATTCAGAGCACAAGTCGAATATTAATTATTGAAGACTATTTTATTAATGAATTTGTGTGATACGATAAATGTTACCAGTAGCATAAAGCCATACGATATTTTTTTGTGTCGTCATGTGCCAATGGAGATTTGACAATCATTGAAATCGTTTCAGAACGTCGGGTTATGGGTCGGAATTGACGCCACAAAGAAATTCCTTACCCGATATTCCGCTAACCCCGAGGGAACGGCAGATTTTAGAGCAGACCGCTGCGACTACTAGTCTGGTCCGTAGTTCGCATAGTTCCGAGTCGATTTTAAGGGATTCTAGTCCACCCCCAAAACCACCACTCCCTGAGAGGTAGTTCCCAAAGCTTCTCATTGTAACGATTAGTGTGGGGCAAATTATAAACAGGGACTTGCTGTTATTACTAAAATCTGTCACCACTGGTTTCTGTTGAAAAAGCAATAAATTAATGTGTCCTTTAATCGCTCGCTTTGTTTAGCAGTGAAACTAATTGTCGTATGTTCATTACAAGACTACAAACTTTAAGCAATTATGAAACAAAGTTTGAAGAAAATATTGGTAAAATTTCTATTTTATTTTTGATTTAATGGATGACGTAAATAAACACCTTACGAATAGAAATAAATTACATTGATTTTTGTAAAATAGTAATAAAATTTTTGTAAAGATATGCAGTCTACTTGTAACTGTTAAAATAATTGTTAATATATCATTAGATTTGATATTTTTTAGTTTAGTATCGACATGTGAGAATCATCGATGGAGGAAGTGCAATTTTATTTCCTTAGAGTATTTGTAAATTACACTCATTTTATTCTGTATAAAAATCTATTGTTTAGTTGTTAATAATAAATAATGTGAATGTGAATTGTTTAATTGATCCACAATAGATACGTAACATGTGTGGTAATATAATTTTATTAATCCAATTTTGTATTTGTAGTGGCAATTATGTGGACTATAGGTTAAATCGTTTTCACAACTAACCATTACCTTTATTGTCAATAATCTCGTACAATGAATTTTTCTAATCTATTAGTATTAATCACGATTATTTTCATTCACTAAATATTTCATCAAATTATTTAACGATGTCAACTGTCCTAAAATTCAGTGAAGAACAAAGAGGGAAATATTCATAACGTATCCGAAGACAAATCAGTATTATATTTAAAGAAAAGAATAGAAAATAAATGCAGAATATAAATTTATTTTTATTTTACAATAATTATACAGTATAAAATAGAATATTGTCGTATGAAATAAATTACGTTTCTAAAGATGCAGATTAAAACATTGTAGAACTAAAATGTGCCTGTTCATTACTAGCTTTTTCTACTTGTCTACTTCATTATGGATACTGACAATGGTGTCATCTCTTAGCTACAGATTTTATTACTTCGTAATGAAACAATTTATATTATTATTATTATTATTATTGTTGTTGTTGTTGTTGTTATTATTATTATTATAAACACTCTATGTGTCACAAGCTGCCGCGCGGATATTCCATTAAATTCTCTTGGGGTTGTAAAGTCCAAGATTGACTCGTCGTGGGACGCGTTTATTCGGACTGTCACCCGTTAAATTAATTTTGAGTGACTGGTTCAAATGGAGAACAAGCGATGTTTGATGCTTAACACCACCAATGCTTAACATAATAAAGCCAACTCCATACGATGATTGTCAATATTTTCCTCTGAAGATAAAAAACAATTTTTACCACCTTTAAAATTAAAAAAAATTTAACACAAGTAGAAATAATCAGCATTTGTGTCAACCATTCTTTGCAGTCAATGCGACTTAGGTAATTTTGTCTAGTAACATTTTTAAACTAAAAATAATGAAAAATACCGTACAATATATATGTTCTATATAAAATAAAATAAATTAATTAACAATGAAAAGTCAAATGCCCCACACTGATAAGTAGCGTGTATTGTTTCAAGTAGTATCAGTATTACTCTACGTCAGGCTGGATCACTTTTTGATTACAATCTCAAAAATTGTAATATTAAAATATGAATATATTCAATACTTTCTCAAATACAGCACATCAAGATTGTCTCGAAATCATACAACTAGAAATTATTGCCAAAAATGTTTTTTCTAATAATTCTTATTCAATTACAAAAATTACTTTTACGACGCAAACATGTTTATTTTGCAATTTTTGTATTAATGATGCTGCTTAAAGAAACATGATAATACATATGGATTTCCCTTATATTCAAAAGATGATCCATTGGCGTATAATAAAAGTCTCGCGATTGAGATTGGGATTGATGTTTCAGAACTAATGTGTGTCTGTCGGAGGAAAATAGTTCTTCTGGGACACCACCACCATTGCCCCCGAAACGGAGGACACGGGCTCAACAACTGTTAGACGAGTCCGAAGGTCTTTTAGCATCTAGTCTTGATAGGGTCTCCTTGCGAAGTCGATCTCCAGAGGATTCGTCGTCACTTTTAAGCGCATCAGCCGGAAGTTTGGATTCGGCTTTGAATCATTCTCGTGACGAGGATGAGATTAGAGCGATCATGGGACCAAACGACGAGTCTCTGAACGACAGTATGGATCTCAGCTTAATGGCTACTATTCAAGGTATCTGATTTCCGCTAAAAGGACGCGATCAATTGAACATCGTTCAGCGCATTGATATCATTTATAGTATGTTCATTAACAGTGTAAATGATAATTATTAAAATATGCATTTACTATTTCCGAACTAAGTGGAATGAAACTTTTTGTAAACATTATTTAAACCTGGACTACATGAAAAGTAAAATATATGTATCTGATTTTGTTTCTTTTTGAAATTACAATTATTTTTATCTTGAACCATTAAAATGTTTTGTAAAGACAGTAATGTTTGAAATCATTGTATAATATTGTAAACAAAGAAATTAAATTTTTATATATTTTAATTGCGTTTCATGTAACATATTATGGGTGAATACTTTCAAATTACTTTTCACAAAATTTCATTATTGGAAACTACTTTTGTTAATATTACCTAGTTCACCATATTTCAAAATACTCTCTAATAATGAGAAGTGAAACTTCCTTAGAAGGACATGAAAGAATTCCAGAAGTACGTTTCCATATCAGTCCAAAGGAACATAGTACACACACCTCTTAGTCAGCAAAATAATTCTGAACCGCGCCTCACTGGATCATCAAGCCAGTCTTATTGGGAAAGTCTTAGAATACAGATTACTTTTTAGAATAGATAATTTTTACTGAAATAATTCTATATAAAAAGGTAAAAGCGTGTAGTATACATTAAACGTAGAATATACTGTGTTCTTTATAAATAATACATCTAAGATTCAGAACAAAATAAATAGATTATTTAATTACACATAATGATCAAATAATTCTAATATTTATTTTTTGTATTTTTTCTCTGTTACAGGCATGCAAGTTAATGGTACTTCAAACTGTAGTCGTTGGGACGGTTCCGAATCCAGTATACCGAGCACTATGTTGTTGGGTCAACAAACTCCCCAAGAAATGCTTAACGCATTTACCGGTACGCGATAAAAAATTCTTTTTCATCCAATACCGTATCAAGGTGACGGAGGCGGATGACGTTGTATATTTATAAATGTAAAAAATGTATGAGCTAAAATTATGCAAGAATGCCTCAAATAGCTAGTGGAGCAAGTAGCGTGGGCGTCAGACGTTCCGACTACGTGAATAAAGAGTGTTCTATAGATCTTCATCGAAGTCGGTGCAATCCGTTAGTATTCTTTCTCTCGATCGATCACGAAGATCACGGTTTCATAAAAATAAAAAGTTCATCATGTCCGCCGGTTGGAACTGGGAAACCTTAAAAAGTCTTCTCCGTAAGAAGGATAAAGCTTCTAAAGCAATATTCTATATTGCCATCCCCAATTTACTCGTTCTCAATAAACAATTTGTCAGTATTTTATAACTCATCATACGGCAATTATGTTTTAGGTATGGAAGGAAAAATAGAACGATTATCGACCCAAACGCAAGAGTCCGGTTTCGTATCCATGCACTCACAACGAAGTTCATCCCAAAGTTACACCGCTTCCAGTGTCACATCAAAAAGATCCTCCCAGCAGAGCAGCATTAGTTACAATTCTCAGACGTTTAATTCGCAACAGCAATCGTTTTCTCAGACCAAGGTGTCTTCTGATAGTAATGGGTCCATATTCACCCAGAAGACAATGAGTAGTTCCAAAAGTACTATTAGCACAACAAATATATCTGGAAACGGGGATCCTGCGTTGCTGGAAAAATTGGTAAATGTGGGTGTTGCATGTTCGTGTTCGCATTGTTTTTTTCTTTTCAATAAATACATAAGTAGAAGATGATTCAGAAGTATATAATTGATAAATATACAAATAGATTATTGATAGTTATAAATATACTTATAGATTAATTAGTTAATTGATAACTGATTTTCAATTGTACTTATCAGTATTAAGTTTTCGTATGGCTTACTGTTCATTTGTTATTTGCATAAATTCTGTTGTGAATGATCACTGTAGTAGAATACTGTTTTTGCTGCATATAACTGTCTTAACAGTTGTAGAAATCATGTATCTATTCCATATTTACATTGTTTTTATATTACGTAGGAAATAGAATCGATTTCTGTGTCAGACACAAACGGCGTGCCACCGGCATTGCCAGAAAAACGTTCCAAACGTAGAAAAGAACGTCAGCCGTCGCAGTACGACAATGTACCTGAGAACGAGCATTTATCAACCTGTAGTTTACATACCAGTAACGGCGATAGTCCGGATACCAGTAAACCACCGCCGCTTCCGCTCAAAAAGAGGCACAGTAAGTTGATCCATAACTAACGATAAAGGCAGTAATAAAGCAACTAATAACTACTATCTGAATCTATAGTCTTTCTGCTTTATTACTGTCCTATATAGATTTTAGATACAATAATTACAAAACAATAAAAATAGATTTGGTCCAAATTGAAGTACAACAGAGTTAGTGGACAAAATTGTTCTAGAAATTGTCTAGACTATACTTTAGAGTAGATGTTCCAAAATCTCTTCCTGGTAGTAGGTTAAAACTGATGAAATATTTTGTATCCCCCAGTGTTCCAATCAGTGGCATATTCTGGTAAGTGGGATCCTGCCCACACAAATCAGCTATCCCACAGCAAACACTTTCACGCTAAGTTGGAATCCTTCGTTTCACGCATTAATACACGATTTTAAGCTCCTAGCTTTTTTGCGGCATGTTTAATCTCTCATTTTGTGAAAATGATTTAGTACATAATTTGGTTTAATACTGAGCTTGGATATTTTATTCATGTCTTTAGCGTTCTCATGGCTTATACATAAATTAATGTGACATTAAAAACGGACGATAATATTACATCTTTCTTATTAATGTCGTGTTTTAGGGAATCAAGTTTCGTACTATTTCTTTAATTGTAGTGGATTATCAGAGTATTCTCTAAATTTACTTAATTATTCGTGTTTAATGCACATTATTATACTTCCTTCGTACCTCGTCGTAATTATTCTGCTGCGAATTCTAAATTTCATTAACAATAAAAACTAATCTTCAACTGCTCGCGTGGGCGTCGACATTGTTTCACTAATTGACTTGACCTTTTCTGGCTAATAGTCAGTTAACACTTATGCTTCTTCAACTGGAACGACTCCAGAGAGTTCAGTTTTCATCTTCACGATTGTGTGTGAAGAATCAGCGAAATAAAACATTTTTCTAATACAATAGTTTTACAAATGAAAACATTTGTACTTTTTTCCGCTGTAACATTTGTTTTACTTATCAGTGTTTGATTCTGGAAAACCTATACGAAAATGTTATTCAAGCGATTGCATTCTCATTCCAGTAAGTTTACATAAACTTTAAATGCTCAAACTTTTATAACAATATATCAAGATACATGCTTGTGCATCATTGTTTTCTTCTGTATTTTATTCACCTGCGCTTTTAATACATTTCATAACATAAATCATGCTTGTATCTACCATATGTATTATATATCATGGAATCACATTTTTACTTATTTTTATATTATTACACTATTCGCTGCTCGATTAAGTTACAAATTCACTTAAACCTGATTCTATCTATTTCAGTCATGGCATACATGGAGATGTTTGGGAACTGTTCCCACAGTAACAATGACTTCATCTCTGGTCTTGGGACTCGCCATTCAGTGGCAGCTTATAATTCAATGCAAGCAGAATGGCAAAAACACGAGATGGCCCTTACCACTACTCAGTCATGCTCTTTTATGGCACACACTTTGACTACGTTACATGACAGCTCAAAGTATGTAATTTAATAAGTACATATACATACGTTAAGACACTATATACATACCGTTCAGAGAAATGGAATAATACCTTTTGTTTTTCTTTCAGTACCTCCATAACTATGACACCACCCGTAACTGAAATAACAAATAATTCTAGTCTCCCACCAGCATTGCCACCAAAGAGATCCCGTTCCATTAAAACAAACGCGACACCTCCACCTATTTCACCAAAACCTACCATCAGCATGCAAAGTATACATACAATCGACCCAATAGTAACATCGACTCCAGTGAAAACAGAAGAATCGGTTTGTATTCACGAGAAGAAAGAGCTCACACCTTCGACTCCAGTTAAATTGGTAAATATAATAGATTTAGTATTATTATATATTTGTGTTGATTAATTATTTTTTAATTGAAAATATCCTGTTTTCCAGAATAATGTTACCTTAGATACGATATTGCCATCATCGAGACCTGCAAGCAATGCTCTATCATCAATATCAGTTGATGAAAACACTCTTGAATTGAGAGATGTCGATCAAGATGACAGTATTCTAGATGAACTGGACATCAGCAAGTATTTAGTGTTGAAAAAACCTGACGAAGATGGGCCAGATATACGTGGAGGACATCCAGATGCTCTGTTAATTCATGCAACCAAAGCTAATAAACATGGTAAGAGTTTTTTACATCATTCTAAGAAATATATTATTAATATATCATTATGAGAAATGTGTCATAAACGTTTCTGAAAAAAATATAATTTTAATTTTTCATGCTTCTTAGATGAAAAAGAGTCAGGTCAGTCTATAATCTTCATATACATACACTTCAAACATGCACAGTTTCAACATTAATAGTCAATACGTATTAGTATAAACAAATTGCTACTTTATCATTGCGTGAAAACTCTCAAACAGAATCTTATATTTATAAGTACGTACTTTTTTACAGACTTTCTATATCAAGAAGCATTCTTAACAACATATAGGACTTTTATGCAGCCACTCGAATTAATTCAGAAATTACACAGACGCCATCAACGATTCTCTTGCTCCGCTGATCTTGTTAAGCAAAGGGCAGCTCGCGAAGCATTTTCCTTATTAGTTAGAGTCGTTAGTGATTTAACGTAAGTCAATCCTCTATCGATTGTATTATCAATAATTAAGAACACTTCAAAAGTATTGCTTTATTTTAGTATGTCGGATCTTGATGATACTCTTCTACAAACCTTAATGGAATTCGTGCAACAATTAGTATGTAGCGGTGATCTCACCATGGCGAAGGCTCTACGAGTAAAAATTTTAGAGAAGCATCAAGCAAAACAGTTACAATCAGCACAGCCAATTCTTTCGTCGCTGAGCGTGACAACAAAGCAAGCTTCTCTCCTCGATTTTAAGAGCGAACAAATAGCTGAACAAATGACGCTATTAGATGCGGATCTATTCATGAAAATTGAAATACCGGAAGTGTTGATCTGGGCCCAAGAACAGAATGAGGAACGAAGTCCGAATCTAACCAGATTCACGGAACACTTTAACAAAATGTCATACTGGGCCAGATCGAGAATTCTAGAGCATAGGTTAGAAAATGAGGCGAAGGATAGGGAGAAATACGTGGTTAAATTTATTAAAATAATGAAGCACCTTAGAAAGATTAATAACTTTAATAGCTATCTAGCCTTGCTTTCTGCACTGGATAGCGCGCCTATTAGAAGGCTCGAGTGGCAAAAGCATATTACAGAAGGCTTAAAGGAATATTGTGCTCTTATCGATAGTTCTAGCAGCTTTAGAGCTTACAGACAAGCTCTGGCTGAAACGCAACCGCCATGTATTCCGTACATGTAAGGATCATTTTCAATATAATTTAAATATGACATGCTATGGAAGTCTGCAATAAAATAAATACGATTTCTATTTTCAGCGGTCTCGTATTACAAGATCTCACATTCGTGCATATTGGAAACAGTGATTTATTACCTGATGGCACCATAAACTTTTCAAAAAGATGGCAACAGTTTAATATTGTTGAGAATATGAAGAGGTTCAAAAAAGGGTATGGTCATCTTTTTCTGTTGTAAAAACTTATTACGTTACAAAAACATGTACTATCAATAATTAACTACAAAATAATGTTCAAATGGTCATACATCCAAAGAATTTATTAATAACCTTCTCATTATAAACTTATTGATTCAAAGGTGTTTACATTTTTGAAACATAGGATTTAACGAATTATAAAGTTAATTTCATTCCAATATATATTTAATTTATGAATGTGGCGATTCTTTGTTACAGGACATACTCCTTTAAGAAACACGAACGTATAATAACGTTCTTCAACAATTTCAGTGATTTCCTCTGTGAGGAGGCAATGTGGCAGATTTCAGAAAGCATCAAACCGCGCGGAGGTAAAAAGGCCCAGTCACAGAACTAGAATATATCTAACCCTTTCACTGCCTGCGTCTCAAAATCGAAAGGCTGAACCAATGAATTAGAATGTTTATATTTATGGTATTTAAATAAACGCTTAATTGCAAAACCAAACGAAAATTATACAACACTCCGATGGCGGTGAAAGGGTTAGCTTGGTCTACCCCGTTTCAACAGCCTCTGTGAGGTTGTATTTTATTTTATGGAAATTTTAATATTCAGTCCATAATTGAAGAAAACAAAAGCTAAGAGCCCATATTTAGATTAAACTGAGACTTGATGTATTCATTTTATTTAATATAATCATATTATGCGGATATCGATTGAATCGAAACGTCGAAAGTTGTGAGGTTAGAGGGACTCTAAATGGATTAGATAGATCAAATGATGTCTCAAATGCATTTTTGTAGATATTTTCCTTTTGCCATAAGATAGTGTGGAAAACCATATTTGCTATGAACCTATGCAACATTTACTTAAAAAGATGCAGCTGTAATGATGCTTAACATAGCACGAAGGGCATACTACCC